TGGTATTATAAATAGGAGCAGATCATATTCGATGAACTCAGGAAGAAAAGCTAAAAAGCTCTGTCATTTCTAGGATTTACAGATTCTGCTGCCCTGATGTATTTCTTAAGCGCAGCTTTAACACTCACCACCATCATCAGCGTGTTATCAACTTTTTTAGTGTATAAGATGAAAAAGAGGAACAACTGCCAATCCAGAGGTCTTATCTTATCTTATTTTACTGTTGTGTTTAAAAATAGTGGCATTTAAGTTTAAATCATTTCCTTTTTTCTCAGCAGACTCAAACGCAAATGATTCTGTAAATTTAGAGGTGAGTTTTAAAGTGTGGAAGTTCATGTGTTTTTAGGAGATGACATTTCTTGTTGAATTGTTATCTTGATTCTTTTGGTGTCTAGAGCACCCAAGAGGACAACCTTCATTATGCTGCTTTGAGAAAAATTAGGACGAAAGGAGCAAGAAGACAGACGAGCAACACCCAGGATACATGTGTGTACTCCGGTATAAAGTAAACATAGTAGAAATGATGATTCTTAGTATTACCTTTCTAACTGATTTAACTGCTAACAGAATTTGATCACTTGCATATGTTTGAAATTGCTGTAAATGTAATTCCAGTAGATAATTTGTTTTGGATTTTGGGTTTGATGTATTTTTGAAGTTCTGTAATTTTTAGTTGTCTCTTTGAAGTTGTTGTTGTGTTGACTGTTTTTTATCATTTGGATTTTTGATTCTTAATTTTGGTGAGTTTAATATTGGATACCCTGTCTCGTCAAGTTAATCAGGTCCAGCTGTGTCCCCCACCTGTGTGTGATTTCCCGGTGTCTCTCTGTGTACTTATAGTGTGTGTTTTCCTCTGTTCCTCGTCGCGTCGTCTGTGTTCATACTCTGTGAAATCCCCTGCGTGCTCTCCCTGCTGTTCTCCCTTCATGTTCAGGTTTGCTACTCCTTGGTGTAGTTTCTCCCAGTTTAGTCATCCTTAGTTCTGTTTTGCCATCTCCACCTTATGTTTGGTATTGTTAATAAATCGCCCTCACGTCTAAATAAGTACTGCATTTGAGTCCTCCTTTCCACTCCTCACACGGCCACTGACTCAGACCGTGACACCTTTGTTCTTTGTCTCTGTGGCTGTCTATCTCCACCCTCTGCTCTCTCTGGTTTCTGAGGATCTCTAAAATGATTTTTGGATTTCTGCTTTTTTCTATTTTGTAATTCTGTTCGCAACCTAATAAAAGATTAGCTTTCTGTCTGCCTTCAGTCCTACACTTGCATCATTAATTCTTGAAACTGTGTTTGGCATCAATCATGTGAAGGACGAATACACTGTATTTGTAAAGTACTTGAATCATGTAAGCATCATACTGTACTCACATGGCCTCCACAGTCACCAGATTTCAGTTCCACAGAGCATCTTTGGGATGCGAGATTCACATTGGGGGTGTGCAGATACCAAATCTGCAGCAGATGCTATTATATCAGTATAACCAATATATCTGAGCAAGGTTTTCAGCACTTTTTTGAATCGATGTTTTAAAAGAATTAAATCTGTACAAATGAGTGTTGGATACTGGATGGATATTGGTTATTTAAAATGTAAAGATCCAGCTTTAATCGAGAGTATCCCAACAATAATCCCCAATGAGCAGCAATACTCACTTTTAAAATGAAGAAATCTCCAGCAGAACCAAGCTGAGGAAGGCTTTGGAAAAGAGGGGCTATAGAGGAG